CTTAGTTTACACTTTTTAGACAAAAATCAGCCCATTTTATTCATCATCCTTTGAATTCAAAAACTAAACAACTTACTAAACACTATATATGTTTTGCCCTTGAAGATTTCATATATATATATATATATATACATACAGCACTTCTAACATCTTCCAAGTAAGGCTACGCCTAAATTAGGATAACGATGCTTCATACAATCGATCTAGAGTTGATTACATCACCGATTGCTGATTATCCAGTCGGCTCCTACTCGTAATCTTCCCTCAATCGCGCGAAGTGAGGGAGAAGAGCGCGATCTTTCTCGATTAAGTCTCGATGTAACCAGATTGCCAAATCGAAAAGAATCCAAGGATTTTCAAGCCGCGCCGAGGGATTTCCTTTTTTCCTTTCATCCTATCGCACGTTCCTTCCTCTTCTTTTAGCCTAAAATTCTCCTCGACATCGTCGTGCATCCTTGCCTTTGTGCTCGTCTATTTTCGCCAGCCTCGTACCTACCTACCTTTGCTCTCCCTCTGGTCACGCGATCACTCTTACGGGAATTTTCCAGACTGTAAATTGCAAAAGTTCTAATGCGACTTTTAGGATATCACATCTCTAAGCCCAGCCTTGTTTCTTCTTGTTTCAGATCCTGAGACGGCCCCTGGGATCCTAACGCTCTGAGGGTAAGTTTCAGTTAATAATACAGAGGCTCATCAAGACTGACCTCTAAAGATGATAATCGCTTTAACGTAGATTGAATTGGGAAATTGTTCGCCGTTCTCTTAATGGGGATCTGCAATTTTAAGCAAGTGTACGGACTTTGATAGAAACACGGAATGACTATTAAATTATATCCGTGTTATTCTAGATTCGATTTCATTTCGAATGCACCGTGTGTACAAGTAAATCTTCAGCTGATCGAATTACTTTGTGTAAAAAACAATTTTAAAACTCGCTGTAGTTCGCGGAATATAGCACACACTGAAAGAACAATTTTGTTAAAGTATCTAAAAATTTAGCTAGATACGGATTTGAAAATAATATTGTTTGGACCATTAAAATAATTACGTTGGACGATCAAAAACTCGCTAAAATGGTAACTCTGTTGTAATATTGTTTACACTTGAGATTCCTACGTAATCATTTTAATGGTCCAACAAAATTATTCAGATTCAGAAATAATTCAGATCTATATCTATCTAAATTTTTAGATACTTAAACAAAAAAACTGTTCCTTCCGTGTGTACGAAAATTTTTAGACTTTAAATCTCTTCGAAAATTTTTAATATCCATATCAGCGATCTATTAATTTCTACTTCTTCAACTCATTTCAACGAGGTGTAACATCGAATCGTTCGGTTAATTTCAAAGAATTCGAGAATTTTATGAATTGCGCGGGAAAACTGTTTTCCACCGTCTGATGAACGTGCCTCTCGCCCGTATACTCCGCGAACACTCGATCGTATCTGAAATTTATCGAGGTAACAACAAGCAGCGCAACACCACGGAGCGTCTCCTTCTCTCAGAGCTCTCGAAAAGTTCGCTCGTTCTTGTAAAGTGCTCGAAACAATTCCGACGCGAGCCGGCATTCGACGGCGTCGCTTTTGTATCGAGAGAGCTGGAACAGCGAAAGTTTTTGCATTCCATTATCACGCGGCGGCGATTTATCCTGTGCTCAGAATATGCAACATTTACGTTGTTCTTTGTATTGCTATCGTAAAAACGTTTCCGATTAAATATAAAGAATGAAACGAGATCTGACAGAAATATTTTTCAAAGAAATCGTTAATAACTAAATTTATATTAGTTGTTTTAAAAGGGTAATAACTTTCTTCTCTAAAAATAATGACTTTTCCGTTTAAGTATATTTATCTTTTAAACATTTGAGTATTTTTAATTTCAAAGTTAAAATTATAATTTCCTTGAGAAATACATCTACGTATATAATATGGCTGTGAATCCAATTTCATATTTTTATGTAAATCACCTTCGATCGAGAACGATCGAGAACGAAATTGTTGCTTCGAGCGCCGGTTCTCTTCGAAAGGCGCCTATTAATATTTTTGCGAAACTGGACCGTGAAATTTGTGGCCTAATAGTTCCTTTGATCGCACGTCGAATCACACAAATGTGTTATTAATGTCTAGTTTCCACTGCATATGCATACGCCATATTAATTCTAATACGCGCACTTTGCTATTGAGGATCACATCGGAGCGAATGAACATATATAATTAAATTTACTATCAAAAAGACGTATATTAAATTAAAAATGAATATTACTTCGTTGAAACAGTGTCAGTGGATCCGGCGTAAACAGAAGAGTAAACACAAAATTAAAGTGCGCAACTGTGTAAAAATTTTATAACGCTCTATTTACGGTGCGTTGCACCCGCGGCGACATTATCGTACCCACAGCTGCCTAAATAGGAACTCTTCGGGGAAAGATTCGCAAAATTACGCCACCGACGACGCTCCTCTTTTCAGCGAGAATGAATAAATTAAGAAAGGAGCTATACTTGGCTTTCGACAGGTGAAGCCCCGTGCGTGCTTAATTAAATTTAGCGCCGCACTTGGCGCAGACTCGCCTTCGGCTACCATTTTCTCCCCTGATGTTCCATGACGGCAGAAAATAGTATACACCCAGTGAGAAGATATTATGCAAATGTTTGTTTACCCCCCCCTCTCTCTCTCTCTATATATATATATATCTCTTTTTTGAAAAAGAAAGAAAAAATATAGTACACCCGCAGTTCGGATATATACTAAAATGATGAAAACCTAAAAAGTATATCTCGCTATTTTCCGACAAGCGCGAATCACGTAAACCTGTAAAGTCCCCACATTTCGTCTTCGGTGCTCGGTTCTTGGCATCTTGGTCATCACGATCAGTATCGAAAAACGAGTGCAGGAAGGCAATTGATGATGATCTTACATTCTGATCACGCGTTGCTTCCTAAAGTTACGTTCGACGAGGATAATATAGCGATACACTCGTTCGAAATGCCTCCAGTCTTTTTCATCAGGATACATACGTTGACGAAGGAAGAAGAATAATATATTTTTATGATCTAGAGTTTATCCAATGCCGGAAGCTGAAACGTGATTTAATTCTGTCTTTTAATCACGGTTGATGACAGAAAGCCCTCATAAAACTGAGCGTCATCCCGAGACAAAACGTAGTTTTCTCTCCCTCTGGCGTGACCCGTTGGCTTTAAAAGACAAACCCTAAGTTCTTCTATTCGTGGTGGTCTATGTAAACTGAACTCTGTAACGAGTTTTCTCTGCACCCAAATTGGCGTAAATCGAAATGAAGTTATCAACGATAGCAAAGTCATTTTAAAGTTAACCGTGACTTTGAAGTAGCGGTAAAATAATTAGTAGAGCTAATTAATTAGTAGAAGATATATGTATTTGTTAAATTATTTTCATACAAATTTTCTAATCTAAATTAAATTAATGCCTCGACTTTGTATTTTATTCAGTGATATTTCTTGATTTAGAAACATATCTAAATTTATTGGCAGATTATCTTTTAATATTGAACATAATTCGAGCAAATGTTTGGAAAAATAAGTTTTAATCTCCCGACGAAAGCTGTAAATCAGAAACTCCAAAATTTCAGGTTTCATTCGTACGCAGCGCTCCACGTGCGACATCCCCACGATTTTCACCCCACTGTCTTTTCTCCGTGAAATAAGCGCCTTTGAGAGAGGGAAAAAATTAACCAAAAAAACATCTCCAAAAAAAAAACAATCTTGTATAGGCCGTGCGTAAGGTAAGAAAAAATCGTGGGGAAAAAAAGCCGAGAAAATAGAAACGGGTTAAAGGTGGGGTAACAAGAAATGGTTGCCCCGGGGTGTTCTTGGTAAATCCTTACGCTCCTGAATGCCACCCTTCCGCCCTTCTCGATCAATATTGAGTTGGTGGGGTCGAGGCAGGACGGTCGGCTGCGAGGAGCGGTAGGGGGTTGTGTAGCCGCGGTGGGTTGAAACTGGACGAGGGGTAACGAGGGGTAACGAGGGGTGCATCGTCGCGGTAGAACCGGTGCTATCAGCGGATGCAGGGGGTAGATGTGAGGGGCATGTGTAGCAGGGGATATCTGACGGCACGAGGGTAGGAGGGTGCGGCGACAGTGGGGGGTTGTTTAGGTGGGGACGGTGGTGGAGAAGCTAACGCTGTCATGGCGCCGCGCAGCATCGCCAGGCAAGCGGTACCTCGGTATACTCCCTCGCGGCGCGTTACGTGTTCTTCAGGGTTCCGCGATCGGCGACGACGAGCGACCTGGTGAAATTCGCGTGCGTCCGTGTTGTCGCACTTTCACGCGGCGCGAGCCGCTCGTCGCGTTGTGTCCGAACCGGGCGTCCTAACGTTCTCGCAAGCGCGGTGTTCCACTCCTCTTACTCTCTTCGTGACGCCCGCCGTGGTACTCTGTCACTAACGGCCGCCGACCATCGTTGTGAAGACGCGGGTTCGAGAAAATGTGAAAAGCGGCTTGTGACTGGTGATACAGGAGAGACCGCGGCGGCAAACCACGTCGCGACGGTGACACATTTGCCACGTATGGATATCGATGTACGTGTCGTTCGAGTGCACACGATCCCGTACACAGCAGTGACGTGAGTGACGGCCGCGATCCACGGTGATCATCGTCGGCGGAAATCTATCGCGAGGGTTAAGAGTGGCACGCGCTCGACTGACTCGCCCGCGCTGCCATCGATCGCGAAGGTCGAGGCTGAAGGTCGTGGATACGTCATCTCCGAGAATTATTCTACGTGTGTTCACCAAAACTCAGTGTCTGACTTTACACGAGAGTCTGGGTACCGAGAATCCGCTGGTTCTTAGTGTTGCTGGTGTGCATGCTAGGTGAATCGATGACGGACGAAAGGAGATCGTGATAATCGAGATCTCGATACGCGATGTTGCGGTACGACCGGACACGTGACTGAGGCGGAGCAGCGGCGGGGATCTGGTGAGGGACCTTCGCGAGTTCTGTTCGGAGAACTGACATCGGCGAAGATAGGCGGGGGTGGCCGCCGCGGGTGGATCGAGCTGGCAACGGCTGAGTTTCGTCGTGACGTGCTACTAGGAATAACAATGTCCTAGCGAAGGCAGGACCGCGTCTCTAGGCCGATCCCCCTCATCCTGATCCACTTCTTTTCCAGAAACCTTCACACATACACACACATATCCCGTCGGTCCTAATCACCAACGTACACCCAACCTACCATCATTGCGTCCTACACCCGCGCTCGTGCTGCTACAGATTCGACTGCACACATGTAATCGGCCGCGCGCGCGCACACATACATACGTAGACACGGTACACGGTAGACGGTATATAGAGACATATACACCCGTGTACACGCGAGAGGAGTGTAAAAGAGAAGAGAGACTTACACGCGTACAGACGCGTCGTTTGGACGCCCTTTTTCCGGTGGTATTTTTTTCGTTCCTAGTTCTTTATCGACGATCGACATATCGTTGCGACTCGTACACGCAACACACGACGTGGAAACGCGCACGGGCGGATACCGGAAAGGCACGTATTTCGGAGACGGGCGCGCGAGCCTCCCGAATCCAGCCAAGTCCAAAGTCCTTAATCCCGTGGGGTGATCCTGGCCCCGCCCGTACACGAAGGAACCACACCCCGGCAAGAGAGAGAGAGAGAGAGAGAGCAAGAGACCGAGAGACCGGGAGGAGGAATTCAGGGTCCGGATTTAAACAGGCTCCCGGTAAGCTCCCGGCATCAGCAGTTGATTCCTTTTCTTTTTTCTTTCCGCGCGTTTCTCTCATCTTCCCATTTTCTTCTCTCCCGCGCCCATAGCGATGCGACTCCAGGAGTAAACCTTGCTCCCGGCGAAAAGGAAGGGTAGTCGAAAGGCAAGAGAGGTGAGCACCGGTTTTCTCGATCTCGGCTCGCCTTTCACCCCTCTCTTCCCTTTCGCTTCACCGTCGCGACTGTCCGATAGTGCACATGGCCTCGTTCCATGCTGGATGCAGGTTGCAACTAGCGGTTGGGTCGCGCAGGTTAGGTCCGTCTGCGACACGAAGGACGGGCGAGAAGGATTGCCGAGGGTGAGGATAGGTCGTGATACATGCGCTCGACCGATGAGGCCCGTGTGACCCAGCGGCTTGTGGGTAATTAGTACTAATTACGCGCGTAGAAGTCACCTGACTGCACACATGACGATCCTCACGAATGATCTGCGAGGCTCTGAGATTCGTGTCCCCTTTGATCAGCGGAATGCTCAAGCATAGCCGGTTAGATAATTATCCACGCTTGAAAGAAGCTGAGAGAATCTGGATATAAGATATGAATACATAGATGAAAAGTAATCGTATCGTTTAACGTATTTTTATTTAACAAGCGTACATTTCTATATATTTTTATCTGACTTGCGCATACACAAACAAAAAAGAAATAATACGACGTCGTAATTATTAAACAATATTAATTACGTCTGATCGTGTCATGATATTGAAATCGATATATTCTGTTTCACACAAGCATGAAACTGACGGTTTCGTGCAACACGAGATCGCAATGTCTGGCCTCGAATTTAGCAGCAATACGAATTCCGAACGTACGCGATACGCATGCACGCAACTCCCGCAGCTGGCAGGCGATTGGGATTGATTTGTGCTTCATAGTTGTTGCGATGTAGTCATAATTTCTGACAGCATTGCGATGGGTCTCATCCACATGTAAAAACTGTTTCGCAAACGAACATTTTATCGAATCGCCAGAGAATGTCTTGTAAATATCGGCTAGAATATGTAATCCTGGAAAAATGAGTTTTTATGAGGTAGGAATTACGAACGCGATAACGTTGGAATGGAAATATAAATCGTGCTCGCGTTACCATGTCGGTAAATAAACATTTCGCCTAATTGTCCGCATTTCGCAAAAATATCATACATGTATGGAAATATCGAGGAGAAAAAAAAGATAAAGTAGAACAGATAAAAAATATTTTTTTCATAACGAGATTAAAAGATAACAAAGTAGATGGCACGTTGACATAATATCGCTTCGTATATTCAGCGGCGCGAATGGTATTTAAATAACATGTACTGCAGAAAAATATATATTATATGACTGTTCTTATCGTGTAAAATATAATATGGTATAAATAGACGCGTTTTAAAAACGTTCTTTATTGAATATGAATTACGAGCGGAGTAACAAATATTGACAGGATGGTTACGCTCCTGCTGGAAGCGAACAAATTATTCCTCAGTCATCGACTTTATAATCATTTTCGTGCTTGGCCAGTCGATTTTTATTCACTAAAAAAAAACATTAATTAAACCTTTCTAGTATGCCATTGTTGCCATTGGTAGTCGGAGTGAGTTTGCCTAAGATCTTGGTCTCTTTCGATAGAATTCTCGAGAACCTTCGCCTGCGACTGTTGAATCTTTTGCAGATTAAAAGTTCCGCGCCGCGATCTGTATCGATCGAGATAAAGTAACGCCGTAGACTATCCCGGCGATTTTATTGCCTCTTTGATGTTAACCCAGGAAATGTACGAAGGGCAAGTTTACGGTTCAATACTCCATAGAGCCAATCACGCGCGGAATAGGCTCGGCGAACCGGAATATAATTTACAAACTTCGAGAGTCAACCTGTTATAATTTATGCATCGTACGTCGATTTTTTTAACCGGTTATTTACGGATCCATTAAAATCCATCTCGAGTATTAAAGTTCACAAAGTTACGATTCAACTATACTTTACGTTTGATTTCCTATTGCAATATTCGGATCAAATAACATAACTGTTTTGTTGTGCAAGAAAATAATTTCTAATAAATCTTAACAATATATTTTGTAAGTTTAATGTTGAAATTGTTGTGGTTCTATTGAAAGGTACATTGTTGGCTTTACAAAAGGAAACAGTGGTAACCCAATCCCTTGAGTTAAATAACATTTTGTTATTTTTAACTTCTATTCTAAAATGTAAATTAATCCATTTCTGTGGTTAGTTTCAAAGTAAACGTCCACATTAATGTATGCCTTTAATAAACAATAAACTAAATTTGATTTAAATTTGATATACTTTCTTGAATTAAATTGTTTAACTCTATATTGTTTTAGTTTAATTAACGATGTATTGAGTAGCAGCAGTGGCAACTTATACAAATGGTTAAAAATAATTACAATTTGTATTAGAATATAGAGAATAAATTATTTAAGAGAAACAAACCTATTTTCGGTCAAAATAGACCTTAATACTTAAATATTTCAGAATGAATTTATATATATACATATCCAATTCTGCAAACTGTGTGCTAAAATCTTTTGCGATCTTGAAAAGCAATTTAATAATTTTTGATGCTAATAAATATCTAAAAAGGATATTAATATAATTTGACGCTAATCTAAGCATTTTAAGAACTGTAAATAATTCAATTTACTGCTAAAAATATTACCTCACTGAGCCGAGATTCGAACTCGAATCTCCCGTATTTCGTGCAGGTATCCTCATCATTCCTTATCAACCTCGGTGGTCGACTCTCATTAGCAAAAGTTATTAAATTTGCTTGTCAATTTAATATGTGGTATTACTATTCTAGTTCTCTAGTTCTGTTCATGATTGCAGAATTGAATATAGTATGTAAATTCACTCTGAAATATTTAAGCACTAAGATCCGCTTTGATCGAAAATAGATTTATTTCTATAATTAATTAAAACTAAATCAAATTATAAGTATAATTTGGCATTATAAATTTAACAGTGTATAAAGAGTCCGATGTGAGGAACACTATAATTCATCGGCAATTCGAACCTTTACGACGCGAAACGAGATAACTTACTTGCCGTCAAGTTAATTTTCTGCCGATATAAGCAGATAAAAGCCGCGCCGCAATGTTGGGCGAAGAAACTCCCCTGTGACTCGTTTTCGACAGAAATGAGTCGGTGTTGCGGAGAAACGACTAGTTAGACGAACATTAGTCTTCGCTCGACAGCAGCCCGGATGGTCGGTCAACAAAACCTAAGTAGAATTAGGTTAAGGGGCTGGCGGAACGAAGGAGAGCCCAGCCGTGCACAGGGTGCGGGTGGAAGTTCGGCGATTTCTTGTAATTGAATCTACCGTGACCCTTCACTCGGTTATTGTTTCTGCCCATTACGTTGGATGGCTTTTCTACGCCGTCTAGTCAGGCGCAATAATTTTTTTACAGGACACGTAATCAAAAGTATTGGGGAGCTCGTGGGATTTTCGTGGAGTGCTTTTGAGACGAACGCAAAAATCAGACGATCACGAAGGTCTTTTGTTCCACAACGGAATTTATCCGATTAGCGACTGGACTTTCGAAAAGGTTTTGCACAGAGCTTTATGAAATGTATAAAGCACAGACGCAGAGAGCGTATCGCGGCGTTTGAAAATCGTTTATTCAATAAAATTCCAGAACAAAATATACGTACGCACACAAACGGTGTCTTATCGAAACTGCAGTTTCGATCGAGCATTAACATTCATCCGCTCGAACAAGAATACAACTATTTTTCACGCGTCCGAGGACTTCTCTTTTTTATTCTACCAATTCGTAACTAAACGTTTACAGAGTCGCGTGGGTGGGCGCGAAGAGGGAAAAATGCATTGTTGCTCGCAGCGGCCGCGAATAGCCCTCCGTTTTATCGCAATCCTCTCTCCTCTCCGTTTCTCTCCACCGAATTCTCGTTTAATCTCACTTGACCCGCTGAAACTGTCGAAATTCTCGACGCTAACGGACACTAACACCGCTGTTGCCCCACCACACGGTGTTCTGCAATCAGTTTTGGATCGGTTCACACGAGTTATACTTGCGACGATACTGCGGAGCGATACTAGCTTCTGTTTCGAGATTTACATTTTGAGGAGTTGCAAAATTCATCAGTTCTCCACATATTCTCCATGCATATAAAATAACCATTTAATTTCTTGTTAATGAATTGGAGTACAAGGTATTTGATTATGCTCGGGTAAGATCGAGTTATATCCCGTAAAAAATCACAGATCCATCCCTGATGTTACAATCAGTTGTCATCTCTCCGGTTTTTCGGTCGGAGATTTTGGTTTTTTGATTGAATATTCGATTCTCTGGCGCATGAAAAAAATTTCCGGCTAACAGCTCAAAATTTTGATGACGGTTTGTTTTAGTTGGACGCGTCGGTTTCTCTTTGTTTTTTTAAAAGATATCTCCAGCGAGAGGATCAAATCTGATGATCTTTTTTTAGAGAATGCACTACAAAACAGTACAAATTTTTTAAATAAAGCAATCGATCTTCAGCAAGATTGTGATAATCTTCGGCAGAAGGACCAAATCTAACTTTTTTTTCTTAAAGAAAATATTGCAAGGAAGTTTCAGCAATTTCGGCAGTAATTATATCGATTTCCAGCAGAATAGGAGGGTTTTCAGCTGGAGAACGTTCTCGAACACTAGTCAAAAGTGGCAATCGTGATTACGATACTATACGTTAAATTGCAATGTTCCTCGACTTTGATCTTAAACGTGTATTGTCGATTTGAATTCTGGAGCTCGTAGTAACTGTGGCATGATTGTCGTTCCGCTTGCTTTCAAGGCTTCCGAGGCGTTTAGCTATATACGGTATCCCCGATATTGATGGGAAGCGTCTAGAAAGGATGCTTGCACATGCCACGGCCGATACGTTTCGAACACGAAGCATCGCGTGCCGGGACATGTCTGGCGTCTCTTTCAAACGCGCCGATCTCGGCGGAGCAATTAAGCT